ATAACATTCGAGGGGAAGGGGGCTGTGGGCGGGTAGGGGAGCTTTAGTCTCTCTACTACAAAACATACTTACTGTGTATGAACTAGAACCCCCGCCGGTAGCAAAACTTCCTGACTGACCTGCACAGACATTTGACCTGTTCTTATGGACACAGGGAGTGTGCTTGCTCAGAAGCCAAACAGCCCTTTACTGTTTCAGATGCCTTTTCTCTCCCCGCCCCCACCCCTTTGTTTCTATTTAAAGTCTCCTTTTATTTATTCATATTTTCCCGCAGTTTCATGGGCACTTCGTCCACATGCCCTACACCTCAGGGGTTCAGTCACATCAAGGCAAGCTGTACAATCTTTCCCGCAATCCCTTTCGACCATTTCCGTCCTTGTGCCCACTGTTGACCATGTAATGCTTTTTCAATGTCGGCAAAATCACACCAACAAAACATTCTCCAATCCAACAACTTCTGCCTGTGGAATTCAGCGCAACCGAGTATACCCATCGTGTTGTAGAACCATCGTTAGTGATGCCCCTTTCCAAATGTCCACTACCGTCCACATGAACTCACTGCCCCTGAGCTAGCCTCTTCCTCCTTCACCATGGTGACCATAGCCCAAGTTTGGTCTCTTTCTTTGTAGTGGCTTTCTTGATATAATAGTCACATAGACTAGTTCCATAGTTAAATAGCCTTTTAACGAGTTGTCTATACATCATCACAGTCAGTTCTAATGCTCCCTCCCCCTCCCTCCCCCCTTTCCCTTCCTGATAAACCATCGCTTCAGTTACTGTCTCCATGCACCCACTCACGTGCTTCTTAAAGTAGGAGACCGAACAGAAACAACAACAAGAAGAAACAGAAAGAAGAAAACAACAACAATACTGTAATGATAAAAATCAAGAGTAGGCAAAAAAAGACCACCAACAATATTTTCAAAGCTAGAGAAGACATTTCTGTCGTAGAACAATCGAGAAATATTTGAGCCTAAAGCAAATTCAGCTGGCCAAGGATCAAATTAAACCATGGCTCCATCCTCCATAGTCAAGTTTACGATCACCTCCGTCTGACAGTATAGCTGTTTGAGTCCCTCGCAGGTGACCAGAGGAGATCTGCCAGAGGCTGGATCTGAGGAGATGCTCTGCAGATGGGTGTTGGGCTCCCACCGTCTTCCAGAGCTTTCTATAAGTTGGGGGTTCACAGTTGAAAGTCTGGTACTCTTCGTCACGTTTGGATTTTGTTGTCACACAGGCTGGTGTGTTTCCTGTGTGTGGACTTAGTTGACGCCTCACTTAGGGGGCTGCTTGTTTGGATACAAGCCTTTGAGACACCAAACACAATTCAAATTGATAGGCAGGCACCATCTGCCCTCTTCACCACCCTTATAAACCAGAGCCAACAAGAACAACAACAAAAACTACCAAACCAAATGACAACCCCGCAAAAACAAACAAAACAAAGCACATACATACCCCCCCAAAAAAAGAAAAACATTGCTAATCATCCCCTTAGAGCATTGATAACACCCATCATTTATCCAGTGACATAGAATGTAAGGTACTGTGGATAACACGGAATTTATGCTAGCATAGTCCAACTGAGCGCTGTAGCTTTGTACAGCTTGATTTAATTCATTGGGCTCTGTTTACATTGAACCTGGCTTGGTGCTGGGGGAAGTTTTCCTGTATCGTTTTTTGCAAGGTCAGATCCTTGCCCCTCAGATGAACACCTGTCCTATCGATGCAAGGGACATTGAGGTTCTAAAGACATGGTTCTGGGTCTCCTTTCATTGGCCACCCACTAAGCCAGAGGTCCCACCCACCCACGGTCCAACGACCACCCGATCTCCGGTCTTGGGGTGGCCATCTGTTGCTTCCTCTCCCATCAGAGTATTTCAGTCCTAAGTCCCAGGGCATACAGGTCATTGTGAGGTGGGCCCTGCTCAGTCGCTCAGTCGCTGATGACTTTCATTTGATGAAGCGGCGCGTGCTCGTCCCAATTGCCTCAGTGGCCCTCCCCGTTCTGTGTTGATCTGGAAATCCCGAGGGCGGGGTGGCTCAGTGGTAGCACTCTCCGCTTCCGTGCAGGAGACCCAGGGCACTGGAGTCAGTGGGTTTGTGTGAAGCTGAATGGGTTTCAGCGGAGCTTCCAGGTTAAGACGGACTAGGAAGAAAGGCCTGGGACCTGCTTTGGACAATCCTTGAGGAATCATCACTGTTGTTTCCGAGTTTAACAGGCTCTCCCCACCACGGAGTGCCAATTTCCAGCTGTACGAGTAGACGCCATCAACTTTTCATCTGTCCTTCCTGACCTCCATCTGCGCTCAGCGCCTCCCCACCTCCACCTCACCTCCATCCACTCCGCGATGACCATACAAACAATCAGCTGCAGGCTCATTTGTTTACACCAAATCCTATCTGCTCAGGTGCCGCCTCCTGCTCCTCTGTCCCTGCACGTTGGAGGGGATTGGGGGGCGGTGGTCACATCACCGGGAGTGCCCTCAGAATGTTCCCTACGAATGACTACTTTCTTTCTGATTTGTTGAGTCAGAAAGAGGTTCCCGCTCCTGGCTGGAGCAGCATTTTCCCGGCAGCCCGCGCCACACAGGATACAGTTACTGTGTGGCTACGGCCTCTCAGACCGCAGACTTCTCACCCCTAAGCACCTGCTGCCCGATCCCGGTGGCCTCCCTCCCTCCCCACCTGGCCCCTCGCTGTCCTCCAGTTGACACACTTTGGAGTTTGCCGCTGCCAGGGTGCTGGGTGATGGTGAGCTGGAAATAGCCCGGGGAGGAGCTTGGCCCAGAAGAGGGACTTCAGCATTCATCTGAGGCTACCGAGTCGGGGAAAGGAGGCATCTCGGTGGGTCCCAGGAAGGCCCCTCCGGATCGGTGGCCTATCCTGAGGTAGCTTTCACTCTGGAATATCTGGCAGTTTCCTCCCTCCTGGGGCTCCACCTGCCACTAACCGGATCCTGCGAGGGAGGACCCTGGGACCCCTTGTGACCTCGGAGGTGGCTGGCCACTCACACCTGCTCCAGTGGATGGCTCATGTTCCCCCACTTGGCACCCATTGTACGTGCAGATGTCTCCAGCGATCAAAGGCTGAAATGCAGGGTTGGGAGAAGGCTGAAGCAGGTAGTCAGTGGTGGGTGGTACCAGAGGCAGAGCTAAGAAGGGACCATGTGCCCTGGTGTGCTGTGGTTGGCTGCTAGGTTAACACCCACGAGGCCAGCTCCCTGTCAGCTCCCAGCAGACCCTGATGACCCATAGGGACAGGCTGCTGGGCTGACACCCCTCAGTCAGCCCAGGGCAGTTCCTGACCACCTGTTCTCTGCCCATCAGCCCTAACAGGGTCCCCTCTGCGCCGCAGGGTCTAACCTGCAAATCGCACCCTGTAGTAGAGGTTCCGGTGTGAGCAGTGTGCTAACTTGACTGATAGCAGCTGCCGCTCCGTGCTGTTGCTCTCCTGTGCCCCCTGCAGCCATGGCGGGGAGCTGCAGCTTTCCCTGGCAGGGGCTTTACCTACCTGCCCACTGGGTTCCAAGACCAGCAGTCCCTGCTCCTTCACCCCACTGGGCCTGACCCTCAGGGTGGTCTGAGTAAGGAGGGGGCTGTGGGATCACCCGGCACGGGCGTGCTTGTGTTTACTTACTAATCTGCAGTGAACGTTTTTCACTCTTTCCATCACATGAACGATTCTGCTTCTGGATGTGACCCGCATCTGTCCCTCCACTCCACTGTCCTTTCCCACAGAAGCAAAGCTGCCTTTCAAATGGACAGCCCCTGACAGCGCTGGAGAACCCAGTAAGCAAGGTAAGCGTGGACTTGTTTATGCTTAGTCACTAATGTCACATGGACTTCAAAACATGCGAGACGTTGATTCGTAAGCCCAAGCCAGCCTTGTTTTACCTTACACTGGCAGCAGGTGGCCCCGGGCTGCCACCGAGGCCGACCTGGCTGATGGGCAAAGAGAGGAGCCTGGTGACATAGTGGGTTCCATAAGGTCGGGACCTTGAACCGACCGGGCACTGAGGGCAAGGGCCTTCTGCTCCCACGAACAGGCACAGCCTCGGAAGCTGACAGGGACCGCTCTGCCCTGTGCAACAGGGTCGCTCTGGGCGGGAGTGGACGCCCTGCAGGGCGTGGGTGCTGATGGGTACTCTCAGTGCCAGCTGAGGTGGATGGTGCCCTCCCTCGCCACACCTGCCCCATCGACTGCAGAGCTCAGAAGGGTGGATCCTCCGCCAGCTCTGGGAGGTGTCCCAGAAGGCAGGAGGGCATAGTGGTTAGGCACACTAATGCCAGTCACTGGAAGCAGGGTTCGTGCCAGTTCTGCTATTGACTAGCTGGGAGACTTGGTAAACTCACCGGCAGACCCGTTTCCTGGATTATCACGTAGGCCTGTAATACCTGCCACTTTGCAGGTTGCTGGAGAATGGAATGGAGAGGCCTGGGCCCGTCCTCCGCAGGATGGGTGCACGCACACATTGGCAGTGGCCATCACTCTGGGAACCCTCCCCCCCGGGCGTGGACCACCTGTCTGGGGCCCCACAGTTAGACCTCTATCCACTTCCTACTTCCTGGTGACCTTTCACCCAGTGGGAGGCAAGAGCAACGAGAGATTCTCTGTGATGAGACGGACAGACGAGGCTTTGGCTCTGCTCTTTTGACTGGATTTTCTTAAGACCCCAGCTCCCTGAGCCAAAGGCTCGCTTAGCTGACTCCATCGCTGCCCGGGGCCTGGTGGCAGGCGAGGCAGTGCAACACTCTGGTGTGGGACGGGACCGTGACATGGCGGAACGCTCCGCTGGGAGGGAGGGTGGAGGAGTGGGGTCCGGCCCCCATGTCAGTTATCAGACAAGGCTGTGTCTTTGGGCCTTCATGGACCCTGGACAGGAATTTCCAGGCGGTTCACCTCCTGTGTTCTCCAGGCCCAGGTGAGACGGCAAGGCTGTTTGCACTGAGCTGAAGGTGCTGGGAGGTGGACAATGATGGACTGACTGGTTTTCAGAGTTTCCAATGAGATAGTGACTTGACTGGTCACTAATGCTTTATTAAATTGCCTCGATAGAGGAAGAGAACCGTGGCTCCAGGCCCAGAGGAGGGTGTGTGTGGGAGGCGGCGGCACAGGACGGCCCTGCTCTGTGCTGAGGGGGCAGTCACTCAGGAGGGGCCTGGACCAACCGGTAAGGCCGATGCGGGTCCCTGTCTAGGGCACTCACTGCTCCTGGGTGCCCCAGGAGATGTAGTCCGGCCGCGTGGCCGCGTGGTACTCGTCGATGAGCTCCTGCACCACCTCCCGGGACGTGTCCAGCTCGTCGAAGTTCTCCTTGAAGATGTCCTCCTTGCGGAACTGCTCCAGGAAGGCCTCCCGCTTCCGCAGCTTGTCGTACTGGCGGCAGGTCCGCTCGAAGAGC